CAAGGGTAAAATATTGCTGCATGAAACTTTTGTTCCCATTATTTTGGGGTTGAACCATATAAAATTTCCCTTTTATAGGTCTAGAAGGTGGGATAGCATCATTCATACGGTTCAACACGTGTGTGCTGGATGACGTCAACAGCTTATCTTACTGTGTCCCAGTCCCAAAACTGAGAAATACTGAGATAAAGTATGTTCAAGTGTTTTTGTGAGCTATGTGTGTATATACATATACATACACACCTATATTAAAAACATGGACTCGTTCATTAAACCTCTAAATAAAGGAATTAAGAGCCCTCCTGTTTCCCTTTTCCCAGTAGTTTTAAAGAGCTCTTTTTCTTTTCCTAATTTAGTCTACACAACAGGCAGTTAAACATATGGAATGTGTTAGTTCAAGAGGAAGAACAGGTCAAATAGATAAATAGGTTACAGAAGGGCTTCAGGGCCACAGATGGTGCTTGGGACTGCGATGTGAGCAACAGTTCTACAATCACAGCCCGTGGTCCATTCCTGCCTGACTTCTAGACTGTTCTGTGTGAGACCCCTAGTTTAGACACAGCAGTGGCAGCGGCACCCCAGAAGACAACCGCTGCCGGCCATCTCCACTGGGTAGCCTATACCCACACTATGTTGGCTTACTGCAGGTTCGGAAGCTAAAACTGTTGATGTAGATAAAGTCAGTAAAAAGACTGATTCAGCCCTAACAGGTTTGGCTCAGTGGATGGAGCATCAGCCTGCGGACCAGGCCAAAGGGTCCCAGGTTTAATCCCGGTCAAGGGCACATGCCCAGGTTGCAGGCTCCTCCTCAGCCTGGGCCCTGGTCAGTGCTCGTGCAGGAGGCAACCAATCTATGTGTTTCTCTCATATCAATTTTTCTCTGTCTTTCCCTCTCTCTTCCACTCTCCCTAAAAATCAATGGAAAAATATCCTTGGGTGAGGATTAAACACACACACACACACACACACACACACACACACACACACACACACACACTGGTTCATAAACGTATTTTACTTTATTTTTTAAACTAGAGGCCTGGTGCATGAAATTCATGCATGGGTAGGGTTCCTAGGCCTGGCTGGCATCAGGGCCGATCAGGTTCCCCGCCTTCCCTTGCCACCCGCACGTGGCACGGTCCCCCCCCACCTCCCCTTCTCCCCCTTCCCTGGCTCGCTCAATGCCCCAACACCTCTGCTGCTGCTGCTGCCACCGCTGGCGGTCACCCGCCATGTTCCACACCACCCCCTGGTGGTCAGCGCACATCATAGTGTGCAATCAAACTCCCTATCTCCCGGTCAAACTCCCAAGGGGACACTTTGCATATTAGCTTTTTATATATACTAGTATAGATTACAGTTTACTTTCAGTCTTACTTTGTGTTAGTTTCAGGTGTATAACATAGTAGTTAGACAATCACATACTTTACATAGTGGTCCTCCCGAATCGATGTGTTTTGTTTGGGTTACATAATATTTTTAAATCAGATTTTATATAAAAATCTGAATATCCAACCTCACACAAAGACTGGAATTTTTAGCAACTCCAGGCTGACATGCCCACAGGAGCACTACAGCCTAGAGCTGAGTTGAATGGTGGCCATGGAAGAGGCATCTGCTCTCAGGCTCACTATAGACTCCATACAGCCCCCTGAGCTCAGATAAGTCCCGTCTGGCCTCTCTGGAATGTGAGTTTGGTGCTTCTCTGATAAGGCCGGAATCACAGCAGTCCCCTGGAAGGTGGGAGCTTACATCCACCCCAGACCTTGAAGTACCCCCAGAAGGGCATCGGAATTCCAGCCAGATCCCCTCATACCACACCATTCCCACCCTGCTCTTTCCTTCTCCTGATTTTTATCATTCAGATCAAAAACTAAAGAGTATTTTAAAAAATTAGTCACACAAAAAATTACTCGCACTCTAAAACTTTCCATTTGGAGTTAACCTTTACGTGTGGACTCTTCACCCAGAAGAAAAGCGGTCTCAGTTGTAATGGCAGCATTAGAGGGAACGGAAACAAAAGGAGGTCGTGGACAGTGTGCCTAGGAAAAGTCTGGAAAGCCATGCTCCAAACACGAACGTTTACCACTGGAGAGGGCGAGAGGGACTAGCAGAGCGGGCCCCTTGCTTTATACACGTCGGCACCGCTTGACTTCTTCCATGATCAGTATTACTTTTATACAATTTTTTTTTTTCTCTTAAAATGAAGCAACGATAGAAACAGGGAAAGGGTAGAATAAGTGGATCTTGGGGACAGGCTGCACGGGGAGGGGGGTACACAGAGAGGAGACTCATGATAGAGATTGTGAATAAAGTCTTCAAACAGTGGTACCATTAATGGAAAGAGAGAACTTGGCTAGAGGACCAGGTTTGGGAGAGAGAAATTCAGGTTGGGCCCAGGGAAGCAAGCAGAGGAAAATGTCCTGTAAGAAATGGGGCTTGAACCCTTGCTGGTTTGGCTCAGTGGCTAGAGTGTCGGCCTGTTTGACTGAAGGGTCCTGGGTTTGATTCCTGTCAAGGGCACATACCCGGGTTCTGGGCTCGATCCCCAGTAGGGGGTGGGCAGGAGGCAGCCAGTCAATAATTCTTTTTGAAGTTTCTTTCTCTCTCTCCCTTCCTCTCTGAAATCAATACAGATATATACATTTTTTTTAAATGTTAAAAAGAAAGGAAATGGGTAGGTGTGTCTGAAGCTTGAGGAAGAGGCTGGAATTGC